ATCATTTAGTGATTGCAAATACAATCATACAATTTACAGTGTTCTTCAAAGCTTGCCTTCTGAAAGGTGAGGTTTTGATGCAATCCATTCTATGCTGAGGATTATGAACGAAAATTAGTAGGGTGATTTGATTGGTAATGAGGATTGCAAAAAAAATGGGTAATTTGCAGTGACAAAATTTGTTGCAAGTCAGATTACCTTTCCTTCCATACTTTGAAAATTCAAGTAATTACTGTTAAAGTGATCAAAACAATCGCATGCAAATCAATTTCAACTGATTTTAGTAATCACATAAAAAAACAGGATTACCAGGAATGCCACAAGAACTCATCTCAGTGGCCACTGCAATTGCAGGTGCTCCAGATTCAACGCCGGTCAAGAGCTGCGTATAAGCGATCTTCTCATGCTCCAAAGCAGAGCATCCAACGCCGGAACTTGTTGAACTTCCGGCAACTCTCAAATCGGTCACGTCCATCACCAAACCCCCACCGCCACACTCCCCCCGCACCAAAGCCTTCGGAGGCGGAAGGACACTCGTTGAGATCAAATGCGCCTCCGAATTCAGGCTTCCGGCCGAAAATCCTGCCGTTAGGGTTTAAGCTCGCCCCGGCGGGAACTGCTGGCGGCTCCATTGCAGTAAATGCGGAGTAACTTGAGAGAAGCTCCGGCTCTTCAAGGAAATAACAGGCATCACTTCAACAACAAAACCCAATTGAATACAATTGAATACGCACTGGAAATTGTTTTAGGAGTAAATTCTGGTACTTTATTAACAAGTGGGTTTTCATATTTAGTCCTCTATTATCAAATATTACCCCGTAGTCCTTTTTTTAAGGGTACCTTTCCACAAATGATCCTTTTTTGATCTTCTGCCGTGTTGGTGTTAATTTAAAGGCTAAAAATATAATTTGACGTCAACATTATGTCTAGTGACGTGTTCTGATATTGGTTAAGCGGAAAACACAAAAATAATGACTATGATTGTGGGCTAGGATTCTAACGAAAGATCACATTTGTAGACTATAGTTGTCGTAAAAAGCGACTGTAATGCACAAACGACGCAAACGGAACAGCCTTTGGAATTGTGTATGACAAAAAAGATATATTATCATTGTGAAATTACATTTTTAGCCATCAAATTAACACCAACTTGATAGAAGATCAAAAAAGAACTATTTGTGGAAAGCTACTCATAAAAGAAGGACCACTTGGGTAATATTTCATAATAGAGGACTAAATAGGGAAACCCCCTGTTATAAAGGACCAATTATAGAATTTACTCTTGTTTTAGAAGAGCAAACCCAAAAGGCCATGAAAGGAATGCTAAAACAAACCAATAAAATCTAATAAAATTGTTACATTAAAGTGACGTTCTTAAAAAAAATTGTTAAATCTTGCGTAAATGAATTTAAATTTGATTTTAATTAAATATAAAATTATTACAAAAATTAATAGTTTTAAAAAATTACAATTCATACATACATAAAAAAGTAAGATAAGAAAATCAGCTAATGATTAATATATTTAAACTTTTTTTGAAATAGTATTAAACATCTTTTCTATATCACTATATTTTAAATTTTGTAAAACTAAATAATCAACATTAAAATAACCAAATATTGGAAAAATACATTCTATATGCATATTACATAATAATATATTTCATATTACAAATTAAATATCATATAAAATCTTAAACACTAATATTCATTTTACCTCTATCAATTTTATCATAAACTAACCCTTGTATATATTATACCATCTTAAAGTTTAAAAGTAAGTCTTTTTAAGTATAACATATTTATGGTTTTGAAAACTAATTTTTTTATAATTATTTTATAAACAAGTATTTTAAAACAACTCTTTTTAAGTATGAAAAATACGACTTTTTAAGCTTTAACATTACTTCCATGCATCATTCCTACTAGATGAGCAATTATTAAAAATAATGATTTGTGGTTGAAATATAATAATAATAATAATAATAATAATAATAATATAACAATAATTATAGCTAAAATTATAATATTAATTAAGATTTAGGTGTGTAGCTTAAATAAAGTAATGTAATTTAGTCAAATGATAGTAATTATTATTTAATCCTTGAAAAATATTAATATTTTTAATACTTTTTCCTGATTTCATATTCTTGGATTTGATGTGGTCTGATCTGATCTGATTGGATTTGGTCTGACCTGATAAGATCTGATCTCATCTAATTGGAGCTGATTTGATTGGATCTGGTCTGATTTGATCTGATAGGATCTGATATGCTCTGATTGAATCGGATCTGATTAGGTCTCATTTGATCTAATCTGATTATGTCTGATCTGATCTGATCCGATTTTAATAAATATAAGTCCTGAGTAGAAAAAATAAATCCTACGGAACGGACCCAAAATTGAGGATTATTTGTGAAACGGTTTCCATATACAAAGGACCATGAACATAATATAATTCATAAAAGAAAATTAAATAAAAAATCTATATCTTAAATGACAAATGTAGAATTCAATCTCTTTTTTATTACACAAATTTTGCATCCATTTCCAATCCTAACCGGTGTAGTAGAATACAGTGATATGCAAAACCGAGTATAAATTTCTTTCTTTAAAAGGAACTGCATTTAATTTTATTCCTTATAAGGCAATCAATTCATTTATTTGATTCCTTAAAAGAAAAATGAATAATCCCTCCTATATTTTTTTCATTTGACTTGTCACAATTTTCAATGCAACATTTTAATCATTAATATCTCTTTATTTATATGTAAACATAGATTATTAAAATTTTATATTTTAAACTATGTTTCAAAATAAATTAATTGATATTAAATTTATAAAAGGATTCCATTTATTCTATACTATTTGATTAAAATATAAAACCATTTATCACATAATTCAAAATGAGAACAAAGACAATATGATAGGTTTTTTTTAATATTTCAGAAAAATTCAAGTAAGTACTCTTAAAAATTATTGTTTTACGATATTACTCTCAAATGTAACTAATTACTCCT